ATAAATATTTACATTATTCAGTTGATTTAACTTCACGCCTGATGTAACCATATTTTATCATTTATTATCTGTTAACAATTCATACTTATCTCATACTATTAGTATTCTATATACTAGAACATATTTTTATAAAAATTTTATATACATTAACAAACGTATACCAGCAAATTCGCATCTTCTCACTTATATAAACATGAAACTACTGAACTAAAAACGAAGAAATATTTGGCGATTATATGGAATACACTAATAACACAGACAAACTCTATTTTAGCGGCAGGACCGATGAAGACTGTATTCGTACAAACAGTACCTATGATATTATAAATTAAATATATGATATGGCAAAATTTTTTATCGAAATAACTGAAATATCCCAAATTTTATGTTTCATTGGTTAAAAAAAAATATTCTACGAAAATTCTTAATATCTCGTAAGCGACTGAAAATATTAAAATTCTGTAAAGACATTTGATGTGATTCTTTTTGCCTTCTTTGGGTATTAAGCCACTATCATATAAATTATTTAAAAAAATTGTTAAATAAAAAGTTTATAGAAAACAGACTCATACCAACAGATATTTAAATTTTAATTCTAATCAATCTATTGGCGTTAAATAAGGCGTTTAGAAATGTCTATTGATAGAGCCAAAATAATATCATCAAATAAAGGCAGGAAGGCGACCAAGCGCCCAGCCTAAATCGTATCGCCCTATAAGTCTAACCACGTTTCTCTTAAAAACAATGGAGAAAATCATAGAAGCGAAATACTATCAAACACACCGCTTCACAAAAACCAATTTGTATATCAAGCTGACAAATCTACAGAAACCGCATTACATAATCTTGTAAATAGAACTGAAAAGAAATGTGTGCGCATTCATAGACATAGAGGGGGCTTCTGATAACGCATCCTATGTATTAATAAAGAGAGCTGCACAAAGGAAAGGCTTCAAGCCTTTAACAGTAAGATGGATTTTCTACATGCTGAATGGCCAAAGGAAAACGGCATTAATGAGAACGGATTCAGTAACAGTAACAGCTATCAAGGGATGCTCACAAGGAGAGGTTCTATCATCCTTGCTACGGTCTAGAGCTATTGATGAACTTCTCAACAAACTAAACGACTCTGGATTCAATATCCAAGGAATCGCTGATAACCTAGTCACCAAAATAAGAGGCTAGCATGATAGGATGATCTCAGGCCTAAATATCTAGGTGTAATCCTAGACCAAAACCTCACCTGGAAAAAAACACGTACAAGGGTTACTGAAAGACCAACAGCGGCCCTCTGGATGTGCCGCAAGCTCTTCGGTAAAACCTGGGGTCTAAAACTAAAAACGATCTATTGGTCATCCTTAACAGTTATAAGACACATTATCATCTATGCATCTTTAGTATGGTAGCAAAAAACAAAATATAAAACAGCACAAAACAAGTTGCTAAAAGTACAACTGTTAACGTGTCTGGGACACAGGAGCAATGCGAAACTGTCCAACAACAGTAATTAAAGGCTTGCTTGATCTGCTCCCTTTACATATGCATGTAAAGAAGGGAGCAGCCCTTAGCTCTCAAAAATTGCAATCCAGCTAATTCAAACCAGGAGCTCTGAAGGACCCAATTTTAAAAACGGGTCCCATAACTGGTGTACAAATGGATCAATGAAGGAGGAAGGAGTAGGGATAGAAGTATATGGGCCCAGATGTAGGCTATCAAAAGCCTTAGGTTAAACTTCCACCAACTTTCAGGAGGAAACTTACGCCATAGTAATCTGCGCTCAAGAATGCAGTAAAAAAAGGCACACGAGGAGCAAGAATCTATATCCTCTCAGACAGCCAGGCAGTATTTAAAGCTTTAAGTATCTTTACTTTTAAGTCTAACATAGTCTGGGAATGTCTACAAACAATAAATCAATTGGCAAGGAACAGTAAGGTTTCCTTGATGGATGCCACGGCATGAGGGAATAGAAGAGAATGAGATTGCTGATAGCCTTGCGAGAGAAGGTACAGGATCATCATTCATCATATCAGAATCGTTTTGTGGACTATCTAAAAGCCAACGAGGTCAGAAAATGAGAAACGGAACATAAATCCTCCTATTGGAATTTAACTCCAGGTCAAAGACAAGCGAAGAAGTTTATAAACTACTCGCAAAAAAGAGCCAGAGAGCTACTCGACCACAGTAAATCAGAGTTAAGGATACTAACAGGCCTTCTCACAGGTCATTGCGCACTGAGATACCACCTCAAAAAATGGGCAACGCTGAAAGTGACATATGTTGCTTCGGTACAGATGAAGCGGAAACTGCGGAATATATACTTTATTTATGCAATCGTCAAAGGCTACGATGCTTGTAGCAGGTATCCACAACGCCTGTCAAAGTGGGAACTATACTGCTCTGTGACTAACAAAATTGTCATTTTAAGATATCATATAGTTTGTAAAATTTGATTTGTTATGAAATTGGAAATTTTTAGTAAAAGTTTAACACATTATCATATGTTGTATATTAAAGTTTAATAGGTCTGAGCGTTATTATGTCAAATAAGTTGAAATTAGATTTTTGACAGGTACAACATATATAAAGTATTTGAAAAAGAACAAAAACAGCATATTATCTAAGTTGTTGTACATCATTGTGATGTTAATATCACTGGGAAGGTATCTCTTGTTGACTGGGTTTAGCTGTTACGCCGGAATTGGTCTTACTTAGTGCATCTATAACCACTCTATCAGTTTTGCTTTCATATCTCAAAGTTCCATGGAAAAATATTTTACACACATTTTTCTTACAACCTCGTGAATCTTTTAAAGAGTAAAAAAAGTATTGAATCTTCGTGAAGTAGAATCACCTGTAATTTTTCTTTTTATTTTTTCTTGAGAGGCACCGACTAAAATAAAGTTCTTCTGCACGTTCTTGTTTAACTTCCAAAATTCTTTATTTATTTCTGCCTGTCTCTTCTCGTCAAATTTTTGAAACCACTTTCTTTTACAATTTGTTTTACAGGACGGTTTTATATTATGCCTTGTTCTGGTGGTACCTAATTTTATATTTTCTTTGAGTTGAACTTAAATCATACATATTCCTCTAACGGAATTCTCCCATTTTTTTTTGTAAAACTCTTTTGCTCAAATATGTCCACTGCATTAACAATAATATTTTGCAAAATTTCAGTAATAAAAATGGCATTGTCATTTTCACATTTCCCACATCTTGCAAAAAATTTGTTTTCTTGTAACATTATCATATATAACAAAACAAAGAAGATTTAGTGCCATATTCCCCAAAAAAGAAACAATTATGCAGCTACGGACACATGTTTCGGAGTTATTGCCCATCATCAGCGTAGCGTAGCTAAGGAATTGGATCTACGATGGGATAGATCAGGAACAAGAACTAAAATAAGGCTGGAAAGTATTGTATTATTATATATGTTATGTTCAGATGATTCACTGTTGTTATTTGTGTTTCTCAAGGTAATGTCAATTAAAATTTAAATTTTTGATTTGCACCTAACAATAATTCCTATTCTACAGTGTGCCTTTGAAATTTGCTGGTACTCTGAGAACGAATAGAGGTTGTTCTATTATTATCAGAATCTAGCGAATAGGAATCATCTTCTATTTCAGACTTTTCTTTGTCTGAGTCTGAGAGAGTAAAGTCAGGATCATCATCATTATCAGCTTTGATAGCTTTATTCCTTATCACTACAACGCGTTTGTGATATTCGATTTTCTCTTTTTGTTTTCTGATTAGAGTATTTAAAAGATCTGCTATTTCTATAGATTTTAAGCTGTAATATGCAAATTAACCATAAATTTATTCATGTATTAATAATCTGTTGACGAAAAAAATACAACTTACCACAAAAATCTACTAAATAACACAACACGACACTTATTTAAACTTATTTTACAAGAGCACCACGTTCACTGACGTTTGTAAAACGAAAAGTTTTAGGTTATAAATGTGAGGTTATGAACTGTTTTTAGTAAAAACTGTAGTAAATACCTAGTTGTCAAGCGAATTTGTCGTAACTGCATGTTATTTTGTGTAGATAAGACATCTGCTTTTAATATTTTATAGATACGACAAATCTACCTAACAAGTACAGCAGTTTGGTAGATATGACAAAACTTCAGAGCTATATAATGATCATATACGGTGCAGATTCGACTTTGAACCTTAACAAACCAATGGATATACTAATTATCAAACTGTAGATGTATTAGGCTAAAAATATTAAAAATGTAGATACGACTTTTACGCTTAACAAGGCAGTATAGCCCCAAAGAAAGTTTTAGACTTCTTTTAGAAGCCTAGAATTTGATATATGGGCAAACACAAAAAATCTTTTTTTATGTCGCAGTGAAGGGAGGCCACTTGCATTCTAATCACTAAATGAAGATATTATAATACATGAAAAAACAATTTATTAAAACTATTTTAAGAAATAACCAAAATTCCGAGAGTTTTGTTGATTGATATTCAAAGTAGTAAAAACATACCACAAATACAACAATCTGAGTTTCGTTCTACAACAGTAATTCCGTATATACGTATTTTATCTAGCAAATTATATGAAATTGGAAATAAATTTTATACGAACAGTGTTTAAAACTTATAATACCTACTATATTATTGAAGACTAAACCTTTTAATGACGTGCAAGAATCAAAAATTTGTATTTATAATATTTCATGCGAGTACGATAAATTTTGTCGGTTAGTCATCTAGACCTTTCAGTATATGGCTCGCTGAATACATGAATTATGCTAGGAAGGGGAAATTTGAAAAATCAAAAAATATGTGAACATGCGTGGAATAGCAACCACATTATTAAGCGGGATTTTGCAAAAGTTCTGGAAAAAGAAAGTAATAAACAGCATAAGGTAAAAGTTTGTGGCTTACTGGCAATTAGGCCTTAATAGACCCATTTTGCCTATTAAAATGAACTGATCTTCACCTTACACTCACAAACATCTACAGTCCGATTTGTTTGCTGCTTGCGGGAATCGAACCCGCATTTACTTGATCCGCGCACCTAGAGTCAACATTTGGTCGACATCGCCTTGACTGACTCGGCCATCGTCACTACGTTCAATATCATAAATATGAGGTATAAAATAATAATATAAAATAATTTAAATCCTGCTCAGTACCTACAACAAAATCCCCCGTGCATAAACAGATATGTAAAATTTTGCCTGCAGTCTGAGTAGATAAATGTTTAATGGGATAAATGTTTAATGGTTGTTAAATATAGTTCATAATTTATAAGATATAAAATTCAACATTTACTGTAACCTTTGACTCAAAAGATGGTTTTTAGTTATTTATTTATTTATTTATTTACTCAGTACATAACAGGTTACAAACCCAAATAGTACAAAATTGATGTAAATTATTATATTAACTAATCTTAAAAATTATATTAAAAGTAAATATGCTAAAAATTTTAATAGTATTTTAATTGAAGGAATTTTTGTATAAAAATAAATAGGGAAATATCAATCTAGAAGTGGAAATCGTATTTACAACATTTTTTTCAAATGCTCAAAAGTAATGTTAAATATGTCAATATCATTAGATATATAATTTATACTTTGGCGTTATATTTAAACTAAAATAGGAAATTATCTCAATGAATAAACAATTCGGAAATTTCTGACAAGCCATGTGTACGATTCAATATTTTTCTGGCTGGCTAAACAATTACCGTATATTTAATTCTGTGTAGTCAATAATTTAATTTTTTCACATTCTTTCTAACATCAGAATACGAAATTCGTAAACCATACGTATACGAATAAATTATTCATGCCATTTTTACTTCTTGAATAAAAACTCGATCAGTGGATCGAGTTTTTATAGAATTTTGAAATTTCGAAGTAGGTCATGATGTGAATAAAAATATTTTAGTAAATATTTATGTAAAAATTTTATGCAAAAAACCTAAATCAGTTGCATCCAGGCATTGTCGACTGAATTACCTATTATTTTTATTAAGAACAGACCTGTCCCTACCCAAGAGTGCAATAGGTGTCTCGCACACCGGCGCGGCAGCAACGTGGCATAGGCAGCAAATATTCACAGTTTAAAAAAAGTAATAAAGTAAGTAACGTAATTTCACTATTATATCGCACCACTTGCAGCGGCATGGCACTGTCAAAATTTACAGAAATTCTGTAAACTTTGGCGCTGTCACAGTAAAAAGGTAAATATTTCTCCCAGATATTCTTAAATTTATATTTAAAGATGGACTAGTACCTGAATTGCCAAATCTACCAATCACGTTAAGGATTTTATTTACAGTTCCGGTGTCCGTAGCTCGAAATTAAAATTATTTAAAAATTAACCACGTACGGCAACATCTTAAGATCAACTGAACGACCTAGCAATAATTTCTACTGAAAGTGAAATTTGCTAAAAATTTCAGTTTACAAACAGTAATAATTAATAAATCAATTTGCTGCAATTAAAGCCAGAAGGGTGAATTTTTAACAAATAATAATAATAATAATAATAATAATAATAATATGATGCCAAGAAGGGCATGGCAGGTTGCAAGGACAGCCTGCTGATAGACCGCTGTATTACACAGGATTCTGTGCAATACAAGCGGAACCTATCGATGGCCTGGATTGATTACCGCAGGGCATTTAATACATCACATGAGCTATTGTTGTACTTGCTCGAATGTCTTGCGGTAGCAGCACCACTAGTGAGATGCATAGAACAGCTGCTGCCGCTCTGTAAGACCCGCTTCATCATAACATCAGGTGCACAGCGGGTCACGACAGAGCAGGTGGCATTTAGGAGAGGAGTTTTCCAGGGTCACTCCCTGAGTCCTCTCCTCTTCTGCATCTCACTGCTGCCGTTGTCTGTTGGGCTCCGCCAAACCCGCGGATATCAATGTGGGCCACCCAGCGACCGGAGGCATAAGGTCATCCATCTATTTTATATGGATGATCTTAAACTTTATGCCTCCGGAGAGCGCGAACTAAAAACCGCTCTTAGGGTGGTCGAAGAATACACGCGGGCAATTGGTATGAAGTTCGGGTTGGACAAATGTGCAGTCGTCTACCTCAGGAGAGGACGATGCGGGGATTTCCCAGAAGATGCGCAGCTCGCAGACGGAAGCATCCTAAGACATCTGGATGTCGGAGAGACCTATACATACCTGGGTGTGCAACAAAGGCACATCCAGGATGTAACACAAATAAAGGAATCTCTCCGCGGCAAGTACAGACACCGCCTCCGAAAGATTTGGTCTTCCGAACTTTCGGGGAAGAATAAGGTGTCTGCAACTAATATGCTTGCCGTTCCGATTCTGCTCTACTCCTTCGGAGTAGTAAAGTGGAGGGTAGATGAGCTGCGCCAATTAGACAGAGATACCCGCAAGATGATGCAGAAGTATTCATCCTAGATCGTCCGTTCCTCGTGTGTACCTCCCACGTCAACGGGGGGCCGAGGACGCTTGAGCCTGGAGTGTACGCATGGCAGAGAGTAGTTCTGAGTATGGCATGTAACATACTCAGGAGCTCAGATCCCCTCTTGCGGTTCGTAAAACATCACGAAACTGTAGAAGTAGGAACAGGATTGTTCAAGGCAGCAAAAAGAGCCGCAGGTGAACTCGGTCTTGCATTTGACATCAGGCGAGGAGGCCGGCGAGGTGCTGATGTTGAGTCAGTCAGCGAACTTCAGCCAAATCGTCTGAAAGCCCGAATCAGAGCTGCCGAACAGGAAAATCTGTTTCGGCAGCACGTCGATAAACCCCAGCATGGTGTCTTCTATAAGAACATAGAAACACTGGATTTATCAACGAGGCTGACCTTCGCCTTTCTAAGGTCAGCAGGGCTTAAGTCGGAGACCGAGGGATTCATTATGGTCTGTCAAGATGGTGTTATCAACACCTTGGTCTACCGTAGCCGCGTGTGGCGTGTAGAGGTTCCTGATATCAACTGCAGGACCTGCCATCAGGCTCCGGAATCGCTCATGCACTTACTATCTGCATGCCCTATATATGCGATTTCGGCCTCCATCCACCGGCATAACACGGCGTTACGAGTGCTATACTACCATCTAAGGCACTCGTACGGGGTAGACCAGACACCAGTGCTGCCTTACGTCCCCGGAGATATTGAGTCCGTTGTCGAGAACGAGAAATGCCGGATTTACTGGAACTACTCGTTCCCGACTATCAGGCTAATCCAAGCCAACAAGCCTGACCAAGTCCTCCTCGACCATCAACTCAAGGTGATGTATGTCATCGAGTTCTCGGCACCTGCGGAGAAAACATCACCTTGAAGGAGGAGGAGAAACGGACCAAATATCACGATCTCCGGTACGAGCTCCAAGTGCTGTACCCAGGCTACTCGTCCTAATAATCGGTGTACTCGGAGGGATAAAGCCTACGCTGTTCACGGAACTGAAGATCATACCGGCCTGCCAAAACTCAGCCGAGTGGCTGGCAGGCCAAATGCAGAAGGCGGTCATTCTTGGTTCTCTCCGTCTGCTTAGGGCACACGATTCTGGTATCTACAGTCACTAACCCTGCGGGATGTGGGGAGTGGCTGTAGTTGATGCGCCGGCGCGACTCCCGTGAGGCGTCGGAGGCCACGGGAGGACTGACCGGCATCGGATATTCCGAAAAAAAAAAAATATAAATAATATGATTTATTGTAGTTATAAAATAAATAACAGAATGTAAATTATAATTTGGTTACAACGTAATTTTATATACAATTTCTATAACTACAAAAAGACTGGAAACAACATGGTCCAAGGAACCTGCTGATCAAAGTTCCAGCCTTCAAAGCATAATAACATATACACATAACAGAATCAATGCATGAGTATGTAAATTATTAAACATGAACAAAGTAAGTACAAAAGGAAAAGAAAAGAGAAAATAATCAATTTATTTTAATTTAATGAGATTTACAAAAAAAAAAATTTTTTTTTACGAAAGCACGATATTAATATGAGAATAATATGATTTAAAATAGATAATTCATTAAAAGTTGAATAAATACCTTTTGAGTTTAGTTTTAAACAAAGATGGTTTTAAATATTTTAATGATGCCGGGAGTTTATTATATAGGTTGTAAATACAATAAGAAAATGACCTACAATACATAGAGGTATAGTGGGGAGGAGGAGAAATCAGGCCTCTAAATCTCAAATTCAAATTGTGGATGTCAGTTCGAAATTTAATTTTGTTATACAAATAAGGTGGACATTTATTAACTAAAATACGATTATAAAGAGTTAGAGAATGTAGTTTGCGCCTCGCTGCCATATTAAGCCAGTTGGCACTTTTCAATTTATATGAAACTTTATCATGTTTCCTGATACCGTAAATAAAACGAAGACAAGATTTTTGAACTCTTTCAATTCTATTTGAAGTAACTTTGTCCAAACATGGTCCATACAGTGCATCACAATAATTAAAATGGCTCTGGACAAGGGTATCAGTCAACTTAATTTTAAGCGAATGAGAGAGGAAGTGGCGGTGGGGAAATAATAATTTTAAGTTAGAATACGCCTTTTGTGTAAACATTTTGAGACATGCTTTTTAAATCGTAATTCTGTGTCTATTCAATTCCTAGGTTTTTTGCAACTTTAAAACATGCTAACATATTATCATTTATGGTAACTTTAATATTCTCTTCAATTAATGTCCGCGATTTACCAAATATTAAAACGGAAGATTTGTTAGGGTTTATTTTTAGGTGATGATTTTCTGATATCGCAACTAAACTTTTTATATCATTATTTATATTATTTGTAGCATTAATTATATCGTTAGGAAAAAATGAATAATATAATTGTGTGTCGTCTGCATATAAATGTACAGAACAATATTGCATGGATACTGTTATATTACACGTATATATACTAAATAAGGGTCCCAAAATAGAACCCTGCGGAACTCCGCGTAAAATATGACCCATGCCTGACTCCCCATTACTAGTTTCAACATACTGGAATCTATTATTCAAATAATTTTTTATTAGTTTAATTGCGCTCTCTGAAAATCCTACAAAATGCAAAATAGACAACAAAATTTGATGACTTATCGTGT